TATTCGGGAACTATACTTATTTTTATATTTTTTTTATTATTTATATATTTGAATAACATGAGTTTAGCGTTCTACCCTTCTGCTCCTGTTTTTGTTAATAAGCAGCACTCCATGCAGTGTGCAATGATTAGTTCCCATAATGTCACCTGTATGTCATCTTTCACACGATTAAACCAACCCCCATGCAGTGTGCAATGAGTATTAAATTGGTTCCATTGTTTGCAAACACCTCCGTATTCACAATATCAACAGTATTCTAGAGCAAGTATTCTTTCACACGTTTAGTTCAACCCATACTCCTCCTCAAAGCAGGAAGAAAACATTTTAATGTATTATAAGTCACTTGATCTGTAAATTGTGTCATTAAAAAGTCCGAATCAGAAAATATTCCATCAATAACAGTTATACTCCGTAGATAAATCGAGAAATATTGGCTGCATTCCAGACATGGTAGACATAAATTTAAACGATTTGTGATAATGGTTATTTATATGACTACTTGTAATGATCCTAATCTGATTATTACGCGCTTTAAATCCAATTTCTAGAGTGATATTTACCCCGATAATAAATCTAATAAATAAATTTGTTCCGTTGGGTATTTAAATACAAAAAACACGATTTTTCTATGTTTGTGATGAAGGGTATTTAGTGATAGATGGTTGAATTTTTGATAACTAATTTTATTTTCCTGTCTGGCTGTCTACAAATTGCTCAGATTACTTCTGAAGATCATCAATGAAACACTTTTCCTCGGTAGAATTTCGAGGACATTGGCCCTTATCTTGTATTGGATCGTCATAATGATTGTGAGGTGTACACATAAATTGCTTTGAAGTGAATTAAGGGCAATATAAACATTACTCAAGCGATAATATATGTTTGGTGAACACAACTAACACTCAGCTAGGTACGCGATTAAAGGCATGTCATTGATACACAGCCTAGAGTTGCCGAGAGACTGGGGGCTATGTTTTGGTCATCGGTGAGAAATATTTCGGGCAACAAAAGTTATCAAGTCACATACACATTAACAGAATTAACGTTGGGTAAAAAGGCTTTCGAAAGTAAAAAAAAACGTTTCTAAGAATCAATAGTTAAGAATGCCAAATGCCAAGTAGAAACCATTGAACTCGAAATAAGGAGTTGGGGGTGGGCAGACCACTTTATAGAGCAATGAGTGAAATCTTGTCCCTATTGTCATGTGTTATTAACAATGACATCTCGGTACGTATTAAAGATGGGTTATGTCAATTTTCACATATTTCAGATTTTACGAAATCAATTTATATATGGCTTACAACTCCAGCCTCTGTGGATGTACAGAATATGATAACTCGTAAACATTATTTCTCGAAAACATGCTTTTACATTAACCTTTGCGTATAGCAAAATGCACCAGCGTTAATCTCTAGTTAACTAATCTGAGCAGAAATAACTTAACAATTCAACTGTGATAAATATAGCGTTTCCCGCTGTAAAAGAGCTCGGAAGCTATAAAACGTGTTGATCCGAAAATATTAAGGTTGTTGCTATAAATTGACGAGATTCGTGACATAAATGGCGTTTGACCTTGGTGTATAATCTTTGATCTTTTCATCAGAAATTGGTTGTGATGAGAAGGGATGTAAAGAAACTAGTTATTAAGATACCATCACGATATCACTACCGATCACAGTCTAATAACATCATAACTGGTTAATCTTAATAATATCGAATTAAATTGCTCTGCTTTATTTTACAGTGATTGCCCTGATGTTTCATTAAACGAGGTGACGTTGTCATTCGAAATCAAATTACAAATTTCGACTGCCAACTCGGATTGACTGTGTTCGGGGAACAATGACACATGTAACATAGCTTTAAGTCCACAGCTCACATCAACGCGTGTACAGATGCTGACCTGTGAACAGTAGCACATTTTTCATGGCTTTACGTCCATAACTCCCATAACGTTTATACTGATCAATGCTTCTATTGAACAATGGTACATTTGACATGGCTTAACGTCCACAGCTCACGTAAACGCTTGTTAAGATACTGATCTGTGCTTTTAGTGAACTATGACATATTTGCCGTGGCTTTAGGAACACAGCTCACACCAATGCTTGTACATATGCTGATCAGTCACTTAAGCATTCATCTCAATAGTTTGGTGTAGTACATACAGTTTGTCGGAATAGTTTAAAATTAACTTAATAAGCAGAATAAAATCCCTTCTTACGAAACTTTCTATAACATTATAGACTTAAAAGAGATATTTCATCAATTGAAGAACCTGTTGTCAGAAACATAACTTGAGAAATGAAATATTAGTTCTATCAGCTGTGAATTATCAAAACACTAGACCTGTTATATAATAAACACATCTATCTTATATCAGGCAATCCAGTTTTAGTCTATCATGTATTAACACTCGTTATCCTAGAAACGCGTCTTACTGCCTGGGTACCTGGGACATAGACGCTTAATTTATGTCCTACTTTTCTGTTATCCATTAAGCTAATGTTGATAGACATTTAGGTTCTTTTTTTTTTGGTCCTGTAGGAACGATATTACCCACTTCAGCTTCTACATTTTAGCCTACATTAATGATTGGTGGAAACTGGATTGAATTACGTAAATATTCGACCAGTGGCGTTTCTAGGAAACATTAGTTGAAGATATGGATGGGGGCAGTAAGGGCCCCAAATTTTTCCAGGGGAGTGGGGGCCGGGGCACAAACTAGCTTTCACTAAGTAAATTGATAAAAATTTGACAGTACAACCTCCCCCCCCCCACACCACAGAAACGACACTGTATTCCGAGCATCGAGTCCCTAATCTCAAGGTTTGTGGACGCCATGTCTTTTTCCGTTCTTGAAATCAGTTCGCATAAATAAAGTTTGGTTATGGGAAACGAGAAAAGAGACTTGTCAACTTAATGCACCGAGCATTGAAAGATGGAATGTACGCGACCCAGACTCAATCTTGACGATCCGGATGTACAGAAAATAATATAAATCTTTCAAATATGTTCTGTGAACGTCAAGTACATTATTGAACGAAAAACCCACTGACATTATCCAGTAGGAATAACCTGTAATATTCTAAACGTCATCTTGTCCATGTTGATGTTCTTTCAAAATAAGACATATCTAATCTTGTTGATGGGTCGATACATCATCTAATCTTTCAACGTCTCCTGATCTTCGTCTTAAAATATTACTCTTTCTATTTAGTTATCAGGTCCTTGAATACCTAAGAGGCCACACAAAAAATTACTTAGTCGCAACACTCAGGATTTATCCCGGCAAGACTAATGGAATTATTTTATTATGTGTCAATGTAAAAATTGAAATGTCTGCTAGTAAAATGTTAAGGAGACTCCAGTGGTACCATGTCGATGAATAGAAACCTCCGTGTTTTCAACTTATTATGACTTTTGACAAACGTCTTTAAAGTCCTTTACGGAATTAAATGAAGTTTGTGGTACAAATCATGTCTTGTCTGCAATACGGCCGTGAAGATCACTAATAGTATTACAGATGATATTTGTGTTTTTATTTTGTGAAAGGATTTGTCAGGAAATCCCTTTTTTCATTTCGAATAAACCAACAAAATTTCCAGGTACATAATAATAAATGCCTTGTTTTAGACGCATGTCTCTCTGACGGCATGTTAAGTTTATATTTATGAAGGATGTTTTATACATTTGAATAAAATGGGTGATGACATTTCCAGGTAACTCGAAGTTTCGATATCGATAATGGTCATGATGATTTCAATCCATATACGGTTCCAAATGACACGTTTGAGTGGTTAAAATATACGTTAAAAAAGTACTATGCTAGAAAGCTTGTTAGATCATAAATGGCACTAAAAATTTCAGGAAAAAATATTGCTCCTTTTATTCGTTGGTAACAGTATCGTTTTAATCAATCTAATTATAAACACAGAAATACACTAAAATGCACTAGAAATGTACTAGAATGCACTATGTTTACAAACAAAATATAAAAAATGTAAAATTATTGGTCTGCAGACAATATCTCATTTGTTTGTGATCGACCTTTACAAAATATAAAGAAATGCAAGAAGAAATGGGAATATGTGAAGAAATGAGATAATATAATGATAGTGTTTGAAATGGTAATGTTATTGATCAGGCTGTGATTACATCGTAGTTACTAGCCAGATTAATGACTTTGTATATTAGATTCTTATTTACAACCATTCTGTACACCATCAATTAAAATCAAAAATTTGATAGTGAACAAGAAAAACAACATCAGATTTTGAGTGGGTTGAAGAGAATGGTTTGCAGAAGTCTGACTAACGATTTAAATCATTAGAGTGAAATGGACTTCACGTCTGTTTCTCTTCACCTTCTTGGGTTTACAGACGTTAGTCAATGCAATGCAGTAGATAAAGTATTATGCAAAACCTATTTTTAACCATTGCTTGGTCAATTGGCGCCAATAAAGGTTTAAGCTTTTTTCCTCTGCTGAAGTTATCTGATGGTTGTAAATTTTGCTCTATCGGCCTTTAGACTTTTACTGTTAAAACACAAGTTTAATCGTGAATCGTAATAGTTGCACAGATAACGGTCTTATGTACTGTTTTTTCTTCCACTAAAAACTAAAAATTGTTTCGACACATTTTCCTTCAAGTACAAAAAGAGATGTTTCAATAGACGTTTTCAATGGTAAATGGTAAATGTGTTTTCATTACATAAAAAAAAGGCTGAAAACGACGTAAGTGAATAGCTTTATGAAGAGAAATAAGGAAGTCTCTCTTCGGTTCTGGAAGAAATCAGATAGAACTGTCAATAAAAGAGATAATTTATATGCTCCAGGGTCTAACCATAACCTACTAGCCACACAAACAAAGTACTCTCGATACGCAATTCTAGCAGGACAAACTGACCTATATAACTACATTTTACTTTAATCTGTAGTAATTATTCGTTAGATAAATATAAGGAAACGAAAATGAAATATCTTACTTCTTACTGTTCAGACCACAATCACGGATTGGGCCAGACTAGGAGAGACATTTGCTGATGTACCGTACGGTTCTAGCACAACAGCGGTGAACGTCCCGCTGTTTTTCGTGTTAAAAGTACCGCAATGGAATTTCTTACATGATCGCATCAGAAATTCACTTCATTATACGTCCGATTGTTCACCAGAAGGACTGGCATCCATAGGGGAGGATTTTATCATCCTAGCATAGCAATGGTAACTTGTTTGGATCAGCTTCAATGGAACGTGTACAGTCGGCGTCACAGTCAAGGTGCCTTTAGTTTTTGGTTTTCAGAAAACAAAAGAGCATTGGCAAAATCTTGAATATGTGTGCTTATATCTAGAATTTACTAATTCTTTTAATGATATTTTCTAACGAACTTATTGCTGCATCGGATTCTGCTACGCAGAATCAACAAACGTCCCTTCCTGGGAGGTCAGTTTAACAGCTCAAGGTTACAAATCACAGACAATATATCGTTCTTTATTTGAGACGCAGGGTTTTTGAAGTCTTAGAATACTGGATAGCACTGAAAAATACTTCGTCTGAGGTAATTTGGGTGTCAATTAGATAAAAGTTATATTTAAGTATAGCCACAGCAGTGTGTCATTCCCACCTTGTGCTATATCGCAGTGTCACTTTGATAATTGCGTTCATATACAGATATCTATGAACTATCCGCAAGAGAAAAGTTAGTAATATATTATTGCTGAGCTTCGTGTCAATTTTCTACAGCATGCCATGAACAATACGATTACACAATTCGTCACAAAATTCATATTTTACAAATTTTATGTTCAGCCTAATATTTTTAAACAGCATAAACAAATTGTTGTATTCTAATTTGACAGTCAAGGAATAAATTCAGTCTTCGGTTACCAAAATTTGGGAAACAACCATTACCAATATTTTGAGAAAATAATAGTTATAATCAAAAGAAAATCATATCTTACATTAGTCATGTTTATAATATGACCAATTCTTTGCATTAAAATACGTTTTCAGAGATAAATTGCAACCAGAATGTGTAAATGATGGAACATTTTCCATTGGGTATAAATCAATGGCTGTGTAACATGACATCGCCTGAAGTCACAGTGGACCTATTAGTGCGTTGTTCATGTTCCAATATTAATCAACAAGACAATTTCCGTAGCCTAAGTCCACAATAAATGTGGAAATACAGAAGTTAATATTAGTAAACTGTGATCTATGAGATTGTGGTGTTACGGTTTCTATCTGATTACCATCTAAATGAAATATAAGATGACTGTATGAATGATATAGTGGTAGCAGTGACTCGGTGATATGGATCGTATTTCAGAAATAACCTTCCAACTGCCAGATTATAAACCCATCTGATATTGACCACAATTCCAGTGAGACAATTAAACCACTGCTACTATAAATATGACAAGATTGGTTTCAAAATATTAAAATTGTCATCACTTGTTCGATTTAGTGTCAAGAATGGTTAAAACATCTGCACAACCTTTTGATATTGATATACCTTGGGATATGCGATTCTCTGAGGAATGGGCCAATATATTCCATTTCAACGATTTCAACACATATCTCAATTCATATCAAGTCACCATCTACGCCAAATAAATCAGATAAATTTATAATAAATGTGCTTGACCGTCAAAGGTACCAATTACTTATTATGGTTCATATGGTGTATACTATTTTGATTAACAACATGTATACAACAGTTTGCGTACAGAAATACGAAAAATAAAATAACATGAAATTGGAGTTTTATTGAACAACGGCATAAATAAAATTTTTTCGATGTGGATTAAGTACACATCCTGTAGCACATGGGTCTTATTGAATTGACGCTTTTCGTTTTGAAGCAATCCGACCTGCATCATGGAAGTTCCGAATAGAAAATCCGATTGGAAAATCCGAATAGAAAATCCGAAGATAATTTCTCGAATTTCTACCAGATTGCACTTACAGGCTAGCGTTCGACTTACTTTCCCGATTTAAAACTTGACATTGTTTTCATATGAAAGATACCCCCATGCTATAATACAATGTATAATTTCAAACTTATGAAATTGTAAACCAAACTCCTTTGAAAGAAAAGTATGTGTGCTCTGTTGTAGAACTAATACACTTTATAAAACCTGATTCGAGAAGGAATAGACGTGTTACTTTCGTCTTCATCTTGTCACAGAACCTGAAATGTTTGTGGCTCTAATGATCGAGACAATTAATGCAAAAGAAACCATCGAGGACTTGATAATCATGACGGTTAATGCACAACTGATTCTTGATTGTTGAAAATTGAGTATGCTATTCCTAAAGAAAATAAGACGTCAATTCCACACCAGGAAAGAGGCTCGTTTCCGGATAATTTAAGCCTTGTCGATTATCTTAAAGATACCTGCCAATCAAGTTTATAAAAACATTAACCAGCCCGCAGTAATTGAGCAAACTCTCTAATCACAGTTATCTACAAATTGAAAATGGATGGTAATTTGGTTGTTCTTTGAATCTTAAATAGTTGAAATGATATTGTGTCTGCTGTTACTAGCACGAAAGGTGGTCTGTTAGTGTATTATCTAATCCTCATTATTATGAGTTTTACATACCAGTTATTAAAGGAATAAAGGAATACTACCTCTTAAATTCAAATTTTCAAACTTGGTAAATAAGAATATTTAATAGTCAGTGGACTTATCTGATGTCATAACTGTACAGAAATCTATAAGCAACATGAACAACTTTCCAAATTGGAGTACAAGGTATTTTCAACCAGATTATTGGGTAAGCAATGCAAGTATATTCACTAACAAAGCCATCTGTATTTATTTTGTGAATATTTAAGTCAACCAGATGTTAATGATCTGAACGTAAGAGTTACGTAGAACAGCATCGTCATTAAAAACCACCCTCGCTATCAGAAACGTTAATTCTATCCAATTATCTTCGTTTGAGGGAGTGAATTTTAACCAATAAATATTTTCCATACGGAAGCAGTTGTGTGTGTTCATATATACAAATAAAAGGTATATAGAAGCGTGCTGATTGGCCGCTTTGAAACTCACTTGACATGAGGAATATTTATAAGCTCAGTCTTTATTCGAAGGTTATCTACTAAAGTGAAACAGGGTAAAATATGTAAGAGTTTCACACGTGTCGAAGAGACGATGTTGCAACCAAGGATAAAGAAATAAAACAAATTCCATGCCATGGAAGAATAAAATTAATTACAGTAACTATTCCCTTTGATGTCTGTTTAAGATTACGAAGTGGTATCTTAATGTCAGATGAATATAAATTTAACAGATCAAATAAAAACACAGATGATAACGATTGAGAGAATGGGATTTTAATGGATTTTAAATCGTGAAGAATATTCTATAATAGACTCGATCAAAAAATAATTCAGATCCATACCACATTAATTCAAAAGTGATATTCCACATTTTACAAAAACAAAATCGTAGCATATTGCTAATGAAGAACATATTCCTATGACAAGAGCTCATCTTAAACTGTCAACATGTCAGAGTTAAGTTTTGCGAGGTATATTACAATTGCCTCTTGGTGTAATATTAGATTTTATATCACATCAAAGAATGGAAAGCAGTGTTTCTCTTCTCTAAAATATCCAAACCGTCCACGAATACGAGAAGCCTGAGAATCCTGCAAAACAATAATGACAAAGTTTCTGGTAAAGAAATCTTTTTTAACGACAGGGAGTAAATATTTAAGAGGGATTATTCAGACTCCGACTAATATTTTTATCGATATTTAATAGAAATACTTAACTTAGCTTCATAGAATCACGATCGAGCACAAATCGTCACCCTAAATCTTTTTGCCTAACCTTCCAACATACCCCGCCACAAATTTATGTTCATGGAATTCTAAATAGAGATCTAGACCACTGGCTAAGCATGTCTAGTTTTGGACAAATTACAACTTATCTACGTATTTGCATGTCAATAAGTGCTTTAATAAAACTCATAATAGATAAATATTCATAGAAAACACAAAAACCGGCCACATTTTCTAATATTAGCTTCAATTTTAATACAAACATAATATCAAATAACTAAATCTTTTACCAATTGAAATAATAGTTAGAGCTTTGTCTTTGCCTTGTTCAAGTGGTATTAAAGTTTCTCTCTGATCAATAAGACAAAGTGATGTATTACAATTCTTGAACTCCATTGGTTTATATACTGACTGAACTACAGATCATAGAGTTTAAACTATCGAGCCATCAAATTACATTAACTTTCTTTAAGTCATGATCGCCTATTGTCCGCCTTGTAATATCCAAACAGCGATTGGATGAAGACAAATTTATAAAGTCTTATTGAACTGTCTAGGTCGTGTTTACTTTATCCTTGTTAGATACCATTTAGTTTAATCAGTCGACATAAAACGACTTTCATAAAGTACAGATCTGGTAGAAATGGTGAATATTTGACAATAATCTTTGGTATTTTGAAGCTAGACAATGGTGCTAATGAGCCAAAACTTGATATTCTATTCACAGTATAATTGTTAATTCAATGCACATATGTGGATGTATGAGAATATAACGACACTGATAATATAGAAAAATAGAATGGATGAAAAAATCAAAAGGATGTTGACTTTCCAGTTCAGATCATTGTGTAAGCGGAGTACATGTACTAGGAACTTCTGGAAATATAATTTATAGATAGATGGGATTGGAACGACAGTAGGTTGGCTGTATGCACATAGGATATTGGATTTTGAATGGGTTTTTTTAAAGGCAATATAATCTGTTATGTAGATATGTTTTTGATCTGATCGTTTAAAGATATAAAATATTAGATTTACTTACTATCTACGTGACTGTATTGACCTCCAATAGTGAGAGTTAGAGGCACTAGACATATAAGCCGTGACCTCTGATCGCTAATCAATGACTTTTACACCCGGACTGACCAAATGCCGCCAATAGATATTTTCCTTAGAAGACAATTATTCATGTTCTTTGATTGGAATCGATGGTAGACATTTTGTATAGAATAAGGTTATTAGGTGGCAAAGGTTATTAATTACTTTCGTCTCACTATCTTAAGTTTTGTCAAGGGCTTTAAAGTCAATTGTTTTAAGTATTAGAGTCTATTAAGCTAATGTTGATTGTCTACAATATTGTTATGGTATAATAAGTAGCCGATATTACGAAATTCTTCTATCGATATCACATCGAT